ATATATTAATATATATAAAATCTTTTCTTTTTCATGTACTTTGCAAGTATTCCATTTTTTGTGAACTATTATCTTGTAAAGTACACTTACTCTTCACTTATCAACTATCTTATCTAACTTTTTACATTAGGAGAAAATTAGCAGTAATGAGCAATCTGTCCCCAGTCCTTGTAGCTGCCCCTTCCTCCTTTAACTCTAAGGCTGAAGTAGCAGTGACTCTGATAGATAAGGTTCCTTGTCAGCTTCCTTGAACAATCATTGTCAGTGATTTGCAGGTATGTAATGATGTAATTTGATCGTTAAATAATATAATTTAGCAGTTATGTTTCATCTTCCATTTTCACATGGCATTGATATTCACATAAGGACGTGATCTTTAGAACCTAACCATATGGATAAGGGAAGAATGAGTGCAATAACTTAGTAAAAAAATTTTTAAATCTACCATTAAAATTTTAATTGTGCTATATTCTTCAGAAATGAACTGTGTTTGCCAAGATGCCACCAATGGGAAGGACTCTTGAATTTCTGTGGCCTCCACAGGCATTAGGGCCATCTTTGCCCTAAGCGGTCATGTCCATGCTCTGCTGAGGAGCTCCTGGACCTGCGGATTCCCTTTCCCTCCCTGCAGCTCTGCCCAGGGTAGCTTTTCAGCAGCATTATGTTCTAGCCAGGTGGCCTCTCCCTTCCTATTTCTTGTCACTTCAGCCTCTCCCACACCAAATCAAGCACAAATTACTCACCCTTAGTCCCACTAAAATTTTCATATAATTAGTAATGTTAGTCATTTTTCTTCCATTTTTAGCAATAAGCATTAATATTTAAACTCTCTTGGCTCTACTTACAGAAACAAAATGTTTTAAGTATTCTTTGTAATGCATGGTAAATAAATCAGGATATTGATTTAGAAATGATAAAAGGCGATGCCATTAAAATAGAAGTTAGGAGAAATTGTCCTAAGTAATTGTTTTGGATGCTTGTGAATGATGGGAGAGTGAAGACATTGCTGTGCATTTTAAGGGTATTGAAGGAGACCAAAATTATAGAATGTCATCCACACTAATGGTACTTATCTCAAAAGATATAAATGAGTTTTAAAAGATATAAATGACCATTTTGTGAGTCGTGTTGCAAAACCATTGCATTGATGCATTCATAGGGGAAAGACTTCCTCATGTGCAGTTCCAAGTTAGAGGCCTTCTCTCTAACTTGGGGCTCAGGTAGGGTTCAGTTGTACATTGACCATCATGGATGCCCTGATGAGCTGGGCTCCAATTCAAGCCTCAAAAACTTCAGTAGGTTGTTCCCTCTTCCCACAGGCTAGTCTTGGTGGAAACGTGAGGGTGATGGTCCTTGGAGCAGCACCATCATCACCCACAGTCCTGGAATTCCTCCGGGCAGTTATAGGATGTCAGGTATTGTCACTGTGTGGCCTTCCCTGGGCATAATGGGGATAATTAGAATGGAGCAGAAAAACCTCTACTACACCCTCTACTACACTGAGAAATTCTAAGGGTAAGATTTTTGTAGGATAAAAGCTCCCTCCTCCAAAGATGGAGACATCCCAATGTCAGGATGGTTTTGCAACCTTTTGGAAAGCCCCCAAGTATCCACACTTGGCGGAATGCCCTTTACCTGGGCCCCTGAAAGTTTTCAGCCTGAGGCAAAGGACTCAGGTAAATGATATACTAGTCATCAGTGTGCTGGAGGGTCAGTACTTCTCCTGCATTGCATCTACACTCTCCAATGTACAGAAACATCTCCCAGCTCATTGCTGTCAAATCACTTCCAACTCATAGTGAGCCTCCATCTAAGGACTAAATAAGTCTTAATTTAGGGAGGTGAGTGCTCATCTTTCTCCTAAGGAATGGCTGGTGTATCTGAACTGCCAGAAGTGCTTGGCTTTTTGGTTAGCCGTGTAACACCCTATGGACTTATGCCACCAGAGCTAAAAGAAACAAGCCCCAAAACCCTCAGGGGAGAGGATTAATTTGTGTCCTCGTCCACACCAACATGGCTTAACTACTTCCAAGGGAAGAATATAACTTGTGTATTTATGCAAACAGGTAGGGCCTTGAGGGAAATGTCTTGCAGAAATAAAAGTAAAATAGATAATGGATTAAAAATATATATTATCCAAATGAAATGTACAGGCAATTGTATCAACAGACTTTTCCTCATCCCATACATCATTACCCCCGTAAAGGTAGGAAAAGTTACACTTCATCTACGCAAAGGTGTCCACACATATTGTCTGGGTTCTGCTTTACCTGAAGTTACGTGCAACCAGAGCTTCTCCTCTCCCTGTCTCCAGCGTCTAATGATCAGATGTGAAACAGGAGGTTAACTGGCTGAAGGGTTCAGCAGGGAGCTTGAGAGTAGGTGCCCATGATGTGGTTTTTGTGCTTTGTTTGAAGTTTTATGAAGGTTACGGCCAAACTGAGTGTACAGCTGGATGTACCTTCACTACACCAGGAGACTGGACCTCAGGTAGGCTGGGCTGGAGAGATGGGAATGTTCACAAGGCAAATGAGTAAAAACAGCACGTTTCACATGACCTCCTGGAAAAGAAATTTACATGGGAATTTAGAAAAAGGCAAAGAACTTGGAGAAAAACATTAACAGTGGTTATGTCTGACATTGGTATTATTGTTATGTACCATCAACCAGAATCTTATCCTTATCAATTCCTTATCAATAAGCCACCAGACCACTTAGGGGTTTTAAAGGATGATACTTTTCATTAGTGATCTGAACAGACAATGCCATATTGCTCTTGTGCTCTAGGACATGTCGGGGTACCTCTCCCTTGCAATCATGTTAAGCTTGTCGATGTCGAGGAGCTGAACTACTGGACCCACAATGGAGAAGGAGAGGTAACTTAGGTGTTTAGCAATTTGTATCTGTGGGTGTTACATGTGAGTGAAGAAAATAATGAATGTGGAATTAATCTCATTTCATTTGATGGGTAAAGTTGTTTTAAATTTCTCATTAATTGGACTCAGTTAAGTGATTTCAACAATCACTTTTTTAAAGCATCCCAGCCCAAGACGATGACTGGGCTGATCTAATATAAGATTTGAAAATTTTAAGCTCTTGAAGTCTATTTCCCCCTAACTGTGGGAGAGCCTGTCACTGTGGCTATGTAATTGGCCCCATGAGAGACAGGCCCATTTGCAGACAAGTTAGATGGAGTAGACAGAGCCAGCATGTACTTGTTTGTTCCCTGGGAGGGAGGGAGCAAGAAGTGAGTGGGAAAGCTGGCCAACTGTTAGGGAAGAACGAAGATCAAGCTTTACCTGAGCTACCATAAGATCTATGATGTTACTCCACCCAGTGCCTCAAGGCAATACATGCCAAGTCCAGGGGCTTCCTGAGGAGGACTGAGTGGCCAATGAAGAAAGGCCACCTGGAAAGATGGGGGGAGGACGCAACTTGAGAGATGTAAAGGAGGTGGCTCTTCCCTGCGTCCCAGTTTCATCACTGCCGTTTCCACGGTGATTTCTTGGAAGTAGTGCACATTATGCCAGACATCCTGTGACAGTCTCACATGGCTGCCCTCTCTCCATTGTGGGCTGAGATAAACCATGGTTTTTGTCCCC